GCTAAATTATCTCCCACTTGCCCAGTTCTCCCTGAGGGGTTTCTGCATTGCTTTTTGTGCTGTTCCATGAGTGTGCAACATCCTCTTTAACCCTGTCACCAAACCATGATCCTCTCTGATCACTTCTAAACACTTTCTTCTTGTGTGCAGTCTTCAATGGCCAAGCCAGGCAGTTTCCAGAGCCACTTCCTCCTTGGTCAGAGCTGTGCTAATAAAAAACCAGAGCTGTGGGGGCACAGGAACTGTGCACACTCACATGCACAATGCTGCAGCAGATTTGATCCTGCATTTTCCCCACAGTCCTCCCCACTCGGTCAGGAGGAGAATTTTGTTAGCTTTCACCTCAAAAAGGAGCTTTACCCTGCACTTGAGCCAACAGAGGGCAATAGACTCATAATTCAATATTGAAAAGAAATGCTTTTAAAAGATGGCTCTGAGCAGCCCAGCCCTCACTGTATCTGGTGTCACATATCACAGTGAAAGGCAGCATTCCATGCAGGACCTAAAACCTTCTCAGGCTCCATCAATTAAACCACCACATCTGAGGTGGAAGAGACTCAGCAAGGAACTCTCACTAGGGTTCAATGAGAACCAGATGTTGTGGGCACAGCTGTCATGCTTCTTATCAAGAGCAACAGAGCAGCCCCTGCTGCAGTTTCACCAGGAACCCTGCCCTTCCTTCCCTTCATCCTCAGCACTACTGAGCAGCCCTAACCAGAACCAAATAAAATCCTCCTGGCCAAAGCTCAGGAGTCCTCCCCAAATATTGCTGTTTGTGTTAGCAAACTGTGGATCTCCAAATCTGGCTCCTGCTGGAACTCTCACTGTGCTTGGGACACAATCTTCAAGCTGCCTCTCCTACTCAAGAGTGGCTTAACTCACTCCCTTTATAATGTAATTTATAATGTTGGCACCGGGGCTAGAAGGATTAGAGGGAAAGAAGTGTGTGTTCCCTCCATAGGAATAGAGCTCTGGCCAATTTCAGTGACATTAATTTGAATATATTTACCCATAGGGCTCAGATGCCGGTGTTTTGTTGCTTTAGATGGAATTCCAGATTGCTAAATTCCAATTGTATAAACGATAACAGATTGCTGCTGTGGCTGCACCCATGAAAGCACATGGGAATTGAGCAGGATATGCCCTGAAGGCTGTGAGTCATCCTGACCTACAAGCAGTGAACTCTGCTTTGGAAATGTGGTTCAAAGCAAGGGTTTCTCCTGAGACATCAGGAGTCCCATCCTCCCAAGGCTGGGTCTTTGCCCAAGGATTTGCTTTGCTCTGCATTTCCTTGACACAGAGTGATTTTGCAAGACTGACCAGTCTGCTGGAGACATTATTCTTGTTTGCACTTGTAAATGATGGACTGAAACCAAATCTACCTGAATCTGATTAATAATAAACAAATTAAAAATTTGAAAACATTTTGTTTGGCCCGACAGAGACATTTTTGTGTGAGAAAAGGGCAGTATTTCAGGTTCTCATCAACACAAAGCACTCTACTTCTTTTTTTTTTTTGTCAATTCCACAATCAACTCAAAACTAAATTATTTCCACAGTAATAATTTTGAAAACTGCTAAGTCTGATTGGACCCATGAGTGGCATTCAGGATTGTGACTAAGAGTCTGGACCTCAGCAAGTCAGACAATTTGTGCATGCACTGTCATATTGCTGTTTTCCAGCCTGACAGGGGCATTCACTGCTGCTCTGAACCACCAAAGCTGCACCAGAACAATCCAGGCACTTGTAAAGGTTACCAGCTGCCATCCAACCTGCAGCTGCTCCTCACTGCCCTCAGAGCTGCACATGTGCTCCCTGCCCTGCCTCTAGTGTGGACATCATCCCCTGGCTCTCAGGAACCCTTAAAAACCTGTTGTCAAAGATAAAGCAAAAATTACTTGCTTTAACTGCATCTATTCCTGCCAGCATATGCCAAGCATGAGTGTGAGGGAGAGGAATGACTATAGAGGCCTTTCTAAGATAAAGAGAAATCTTACAGCAGTCCTGATGGCTGGCTGTGTGGAAACTGGATTGCACACCAGGTGTTTTGTAAGCAGAACACAATAATTTAAAGGCAACATTGACCCTTTGTGATCTATTTGATATGTGGAGATTGTGCACATGTTTTTATTTCTCTCTTGTGTGCAGCTGATGTGTTTCAGAAATACATGTACAGCTCCAATCTGCAGGGACAGATGGTTACCTACTAATATAAAAGCAAGTCCAACTCCTCCTTAAATATCCTGATGTTCCAACAAGCAGATCCACCTTGGATCTTGCAGCAACTCATCATAAACCATCTGATACATGATTTTAATTGGGCTACTTAGGCAGAGATGAGCTGCAGGTGTTTTAACAAGGAGCCTCTCTAGCTGATCCCTCATTTTAATTTCTGCTAAACCTCTTGTCACAGGGCTGCCTGATCTCATGGGAAAGGAGAGGAAGGCACACAGAGGAACTGCTGGCTTACCCACACAAATACAATCACATTCCTCTTCTAGACCAAAAGCTGTTCAAGCCAATGACTGGCAGGCATTATAGATGTCTAGACTGTTAGTTTAGTTTAATTTACTCCACTTTATCCAGAGCTCTGGATTCTCCAGGGTCCCTGCCACCAAGAAAAAGGCTGGTTAGCTGGCTTCAACTTCAGAAAGAGTCAAGTGGCCATTTGTTGAAGGAAACTAAGGTTGAGATGTGGGTTTACTCACATTTCAGCAGTCACAGATAGTGTGGGTGTCACTGTGCCCGTACTCAAATCCCGCGCTCCTCGTGAATGCAGATGTGGGATGTGTAACAGTGCTTGAATTGTTCACAGCTTCTGGGTGGACTGATTCTACTCCTGTTCAGAATATCAGTTTAGGAGACAGCATGAACCACTTGTGAGTTGTTCTTAGCAGAAAATATTAATATGCTGCTGCTTACAAATACAAAATGAAGCATCCACTTAGTGAAAAACCAAACAAAAAACCAAAACAAAATCAAAAGCGAAACCAAACCAAACCAAAAAAAACCCGACAACCAAAAAACCCCAAAAAAACAACAAACCAACAAACCCAACCCTGCTGTTTATGTGCTCTTTATCACACAGTTCTGGGCACAAATCTGTTTGATCTAAGCTTTGACAGCAGTAGAAAGTGCTTTGCAAATGCTTTAAAAGGCTCAGTGCTCTTGAGATTCACTTGGTTATCTGCACTAGGATCTGAGGAGCAATGGTGTGTCCACAGCAACTCACAGATGACAGAGCTGCAACAGGGATTTGATCACATGCAGGTAAAATAATAGAAGTGGTGTTTATGCAGCCTTCTGGAGAACTTCACTCTTTTTGTGTAGGGCAGGACTATTGTGAGTCAAACCCACCATTTATTTATCTGAAAGAGTTATAACCAACATTCACTCTGAAAAACTAACTCTGTATTTTTCAGAACTGTTATTTCTGACACATTTGTATTGGAATGAGAACTGTACCATGGGAAGACAAGTGTGGGTGCCACTGTGCCCAACAATTCTTGTGGGGTTTATGGTGTCTGGTAAGAGGAAATCTCACTTTGCTGAGTGAATCCAGGATTACCTTTGGCTGTTGTGGCACCATCTGGTGTGGATTTTTTGCTTCTTTTTGCCAGGATTGGGATTAAATGCATGTAGATGGTATTTCTTGTTGGGACTCAGGTGTTTATTAGTTCTTATCTATGTTACAGTCTCACAAACCCTGAGCTCTACAGCACTTCACTCTAACAAACTAAAAATGGAGCCCCATTTCTCTCTACAAGGCCTTTTTAGGACAAACTGTCCAATTAAGAAATGACACCTGAATTATTTTCACTTTTAACCCAATAACCAACCACCCATGGCCTGCAATGTGGACTTTTTTAATCCAATTACACAAAACCACCCAAACCCATGGAGAAGAAGGTGAAGAAGAAGGAGCAGCCACTGCCCTAAAACCTCCATCTTGCTTTATAGATATTACTATATATAAACCCTTAAACTCTTAAGTTTTCTACCCTGTGATATTGCACACTTCTATTCAAACTCCACACCCACAATCCCTGTTCTATCATTCCATTTTGGAAGCCTTCTCCACGGCCTCAGGTCAAATGCAGTGTTCTCCTGGGGGTCAGAGTCTGTCAGCACAGAAAGTCTCAAATTCTCAGCAGCCAGGGCTCTCTAACAGGATGGAGGAGCAGAAAATCTGCATTATGGATACAGCCACTGCCATCCCAGGTGGCTGTTCCAGCCCCCAGACTGTGGCATGTGACAAATTCCCACATATCAGCTGTGAGCTGGAATAGGGAACTGATCCTGCTTAAAAGAAAATCAAGTCTATTTTTCCAGATAAGATTTATTTTGCTTGGTGAAGGCTGGGTCACCTTTGTGCTGGTCTTAAAAACTTGGTCAGATATTTGTCAGGAGGGTGCAGTGCTGCAGCACTGGGATGAGATGTAGGGCAGCCCATTTGTATTGGGAACATCCAATTTCCTGACTGTGCTTCTGCAGTGCAGAGTACTGATACTGCAGACACCTGGAACAAACAGCTTGAAAAGGGGAAACCTTTGCTTGCTGGAATCACAGTTCATTAGGACTCACAGTTTGTGTAGAGGTACATCCATGTTCTGTCTTCTGGCCTTCCTCTTGAGTGCCCTGCACTCAAGAACCAATAGTGAGGGAGAGACAGAAACAAAATCACCCTGCAAGGTGTTAGAGGGAGATTCTGGATAATATCTGAGTTCTTTTGGAGTGAAAGCTGAATAGATTAAGAGAAGTACGATTGAATTAAAGCCACTCCTTTTTGGAGCAGATACTCTTTAACATTGGCTGAGCAATTTCCTGGTGGATTTTTTTTTTTTTTTCACTTTCCAGCACCTGCTTGTTTCAGAGGGCAACACTCCAGGGATCACCGTGAGCCAGTGCCAAGAGCCAGCATTTCTCACTCCCCTCTCAGCCGCCTCCGCCCCCTGGCACACACCCCGATATAGAATGACAGCACATTGCCACAATTTAAATGACTCTGCCTCTGCCCCCGTGGAAGGACAGCTCCTCCAGAGAACACCAGCCACAACAGCAGTCCATTCTCCCAGAAAAAAATCTTCACCATGGCCTATAAAGCCGCACATTTGGCCTTTAAGTCGCGCTGGCACAAGACAGATGAGGAGCTCTGTCGGCACAGCATGTCCTTTGTCCTGCACAAGGCAATCCAGAATGACTTCTTCAAGTGCTACCTCTACCTGCTGGAAAAGCTCCCCCTGGGTGAGTAGCTGTGGGCAGGAGGGTCCATGTGTGCCCTGGAAAGATGGATTGTGTCAGATGGGGACATGGTCACTGGTACTGAGGAGGAGGAGGAGGAGTAGTTTTGAGAAACCCAGCTCAAGAGACTGCAGTGCTCACTAAAGAGTTTGGAACTGTGTCTCCCAACTGCCTCTAATCCAGCATTCTGTTGTTTCTCCTAAATACTCCACAGATTTTTAGAGGAGGGAGAGGGAAAGACTTGCAAGAGTGAAGGAGAAGTTTGGTTTCTGGCTGACTGTTCCTATTTTTGCCATCATTTGAGTAAAACATGCCTTGACCTGTTTGGAGCTTGGAAGGACAAATCCAAAACTAGCAGAGCTAGCAGGTGGTTCTTTCTTGTGCCTAATGCCTGTTTTGTTGTCATTCTGGATGTCCTCGCTCTGGTGCTTGCATTGATTTGGACAAGTGCTTGAAAGGTGCTGATTTAAATTTTTTTTCAAGAGTCTTTGTTACATGGATCTCTGCAGCAGATTGTCTAACCCACTGTTTGCTCTCTGGGAGGAAAATGCTTCCAAAAATCTGTTTATAGACAAATTTCAGTGACAGCCTCTGGTACAGAATTCCAAGAGGGTTTGGTGGGTTTTTTGCTTTTTATTTTTTTTAAGATGTAGAAAATGAATGTTCATTTCTTATGCAAATGTGACCCTGAGTATGAAATAGAATTTCCCTGTGAGAATAAAGCTAAAAAGAAGATTTGACTTGAGTCTGTATTAGGTTAGCATTTTCTGTTTTAAGCAGAATTATTCAGCCTACACTCAATGTCAGACCTGTAGGAATTTTAAGATGGGATGGATGAGCCTGTGCAATCTGTTTAAGTGAATTCTTGGGGGTTCCTTTCTAACTGAATGATCCATTTAGGCAAAAGGAATATCTTACCTATTTGTGTGAACTGTACAGATGCAAGAGTGTAGAATTCATTAATCCTGAACATTTCCATGTTATCTTAGTATTTTAATGTGCAATTTAGTCATATTATTATTATATAGAATGTGCTATATTTATTAATAAATATATATATTTATATACTATATTTATTATCTTAGTATTTTTAATGCAGCAATATCTGCAGCTATTTAAAATGAAACATGGAAGATAAATACTCCCATCCTTGGTGGTGGGTAGCTGTGAACAATGGAAAGGAAGGAAAGATGGAAAGGAAGGAAAATCAATTACAGGTTGATGGAATCTCATGAAGTCGATGAAAATGTTATTCTTTCATTTGTTTTGAAAATAAAAACAACTTATTAGAAACTGAGCAGGATTTCCTACAGTGTTAGCTGTTAGGGTAAGTGCCACTGCATCATTTTAAGGTTAGAAGGTACCACTGTGAGCATCTAACTTAGAATTGAGTGTAAAAATTCTGGCATCATGCTTGTAACTTGTCTGGGTCACAGAACACAGAATTTATTTAAGAACACAGAAATGCCTTGGTTTAAGTGTTTCAAATGGCTGAGAACCCATCAGGCACCACTTGGCTGTTTCCAATTGCTTCACTCATAAAACTATACTTATTTCTTGTCTGAATTTTATTGAATTTCCATTCCTGGCCAACAGGCTTTGGAAAATGTTCCTATCAGACCAAGGGTCGCCTCTGCCAGGCTTTTCATGACCTGAATCATTAAAACTTAACTAATGATCTTACAAGCCCATTGCCAGCCTATCCAAGTTACTTTGACTCCGTGGAAGATGTGAGCCCAGCCTTCAGGTGAATAGGCAGCATGTTCCTGACTCCCTGAAGTAAAAGTGGGCATGAGGACAGGTGTGTGGAAACCCAGGGCACCAGGAATATTTCTGTGCCTGCTCTGGGGTGTCCTGACCCCCAGGGCAGCACTGACTTTGACCCTCATCCATGGAGAAAGTTTCCCAGACTTCAAGATAGACTGGAATCCACAAAAGTGTGAAATAGATTATAGAGAGCGGTGCAGGTGTGTCACTGGGCGAGAAATTTTAGGATTTGGGATTTTTAGTGTGTTATGGATGGAAGCAAGATGGAGGGCACAGGGTGTTGTCCTGAGTTTACTTCTTCATGCTTCTTCTTGCTTCTTCTTCATGGGTTTGGGTGGCATTTTGTAATTGGGCAGAAAAGTCTGCATTGTGGGCTCTGTGGGATCAGTTATTGGGTTAAAAGGGAAAATAATCCAGGTGTCAGCTCTTAATTGGATAGTTTAGTCTTAGGGGACCTTGTAACAAGAGATTGTTGGCCATTTTGTGCCTTGTAATGAAAAGCTGCTGAACTCACAGTAGTGAGACTGTTTCACTGATAAGAAATAATAAACACCTGAGTCTGAACATGAACTATCATCTCAAGTGCCTTCAATCCAGACCCAGAGAAACCCACAGTTGGGACCCCCACACAGGTGGAGTGGTTCATGTGCTGTGAGTACACATCCAGGGAAATTCACATCCTGCTATGATGGCAGGGTCTGGATAGGGGGACAGTCAGGCAGAGTAAAAAATGTTCAGGTGGTTGGCTCAGAGAGTTGTGGTCAAATCTTGAACTCAGTGGAATCCTACGAGGGTCTGTCCTGGGACCTGTCCTGTTTAGAACCATGGAATGGTTTGGGCTGGAAGGGACCTTGAAGTTCATCTGGTTTCAACCCCCCTGCCATCTTCATCAGTAACCTGGAGGAGGTGCAGGACTGTTTTATCCTCACATCCAGAGATTGCAGCCAACTGCCAGGACTTGCCCACAAGCTCTAAGTCAGGACTGCCAGCCAGAGGCACCTAAACAGGCTGGAGGAAAGAGACAGCAGCAACCTAGTGCCATTCAAACCCACTGAAATTCCAACCCAAAAGCCAAGTCATGTACCTGGATAGGAAAAACCCTGGGCAGCAACACCACAGACTGGTCAGCATCTGGCCAGGGAGTGTCCTCCTGGTGGGGTTTTGGTAGACAGCAGCTGAATGCCCTGGCAGCCAACAGAATCCAGGATGAATTAACAGAAACATGGCTAGTTGTGAAGGAATGATCAACTTTTCTGTAGCAAAAGAGCCTTGAACTGCCAGAGCAGGAAATGACATGGAATGGGTTGGAAGACCCTCATTGTGGTGAGGGAGCTGGAGCACATGCCCTGAGAAGACAGACAAAGGGAATGGGGCATGTTCAGGCAGAAGAGAGACCAAATATCACCCTGCTAGTACCTGCAGGAAGGTCATGAATAAGATGGAGCTAAGATCTGCACAGTTGTGTGCAGCGTGAAGACAAGGGCTGGTGGCCATGAATCAAAAGTAGTCCAGACTGGTTATAAGGAAAAAAAATCATTTTATGTGAGGACAGTCAGGCATTGGAACAGGTTGCTCAAGGAAGTTGTACAATTCTCCATCACTGGAGGCTGTCTAAACCCTGCTGAGCCTCATCTGGCATCATGTCTGTCCCTGCTTTGAGCAGCAGTTTGGACCAGAGACTTCCCTAGGGCTCTTTCAACTTGGACTATCCTGTGATCCAGTGCTCTCTGTGATGGAGAGAACAGAATGTGGCACATCTGAACATCTCTGCATAATGACAGTTTCCAGCTCAGTTCAGAGTGGACCTGAGCAGAAATGAGCTGAGCTTCTCAGGCTTCCAGAGTGGAGCCAGAATCTCTGTGTAAACAAAGGACTAGAGCAACACTGTGACCTAGCAGGGAAGTTAAGCATGTGCTTAACCCAGTTTATGAGTAATAACGCTGAAACCAAGCCTCACACTGAATCCTGCAGTGCTGCCCAGGGTCAGCATGGTCCAAAGCTTCCTCCAAACTCTGCTAACTCCATTCTCCCCCCACTCCATTGCTGGGCTCAGTGGTGGAGCTCTTCTGGGCATGTTTACTTAGGAGCTGAGCATATCTGGTATCACAGCCTCTTAAGAGAAACATGTCACTTTTACAGACCAGGCTAACATTTATAAATAAAAGACATGAGTAACTTCAGGCCCTGATCCAACAATGTACTTAAATGTGTGTGAGAGCCCTTAAGCCCAGTGGACTTTATTGGAGCTACTCAGATGCTGGAAATGATGCACGTGTTTGCATGGGCTGTGGGACTGGGTGCCAGTGGGCTGAGATCTGCAGTGGAAAACTGAGAGGATCCACCCCTGGAGACAAATATTCCTGTGTGTGAGGCACGTGGCTAAAAGAAAAATCCTGCTTTGGGGGTGGCATGATGTTCATCCTCTATAAACCAGAATTTACATGGTACTCAGACCACAGCAGAGAGGTAGATTCTTCCATGCACACAGATAACTCTTTTTCAACTGATGCACAAAGCAGATGTTGCATTTAAAAGGGAGCACTCAGCCAAACTGGAATTAGTTCAGTATCTTGCAGAAAGCAATTGGAACCACAAAATAATGTTCACAAATAAAAACTTCAAAAAAAATTACTTGCAACATTTACTTCTGCCAGGGAAATTTAGTTGAGGAAACCCTGAAGTCAAGAACTGTAAGTCAGCATACTGCAGGTTGGGATTGCACTGGGTCTTATATGTTAAGTGGTCCATTTCTTTAGAGATTTAGACCAAATGCACTGGAAAACAACATTTTTAACTGATCCATAAGAAAATATGAGAGGTAATGTTTTGAACTTTGCAGGGGAAAAGGCTCAGGTGGATAGTGTCTGTCTAGTCCACATTGGCTGGCATTCAGCTGTAGATCACCCCTCTGCATCCAGACTGTGTTTGCAGTGACTGAAAATTATTGATGTCTCATGACTGGAGTGACCTTTAGGGAGCCACTTGGTGCCCTCAGCCTGCCTGAGCAGTGGGTTTGCTTCAACCACCTTCCCTTGGGGACTTGCCAGCAGATTCAGCTGAGGGACAACTGCCATGAAAAGGTTTCTTCTTTACTGGAAACACATTTCTGACTTTAAATCTTACAAGTTACCTGCCTTAACAGTGAGAACCTCATATGTTAGCCAGCTGCCTGCCCTGTGATGTCTGAGGAAGTTGCAGCCTGCGTTGCTCTATCCTGCTCATGCCCTACTTTATGGAATTTGTTGAAGGCAGCCTGTGTACCCATAGCAGGCCTCACAAGTATTTAATTTCCTGATGCATGAGGCAGTCCCACACGGGTCATGGAAAGGGAGATGCCTCTGGCTAGGCAGGCCCTGTGATGAGGGGGAGGCACGGCTGCAGCCCTGACAGCCACCAAGGACATGTGGCACTTCTCTTTTGGGGTAGATTCCTGCAAGCTGGCAAACCTCCACCAAGGACATGTGGCATTTCTCTTTTGGGGTAGATTCCTGCAAGCTGGCAAACCTCCACCAAGGACATGTGGCACTTCTCTTTTGGGGTAGATTCCTGCAAGCTGGCAAACCTCCACCAAGGACATGTGGCACTTCTCTTTTGGGGTAGATTCCTGCAAGCTGGCAAACCTCCTCCTCCTCCCTGTGGTGCTGCTGGAGCCTGCATGCCAGGCACAGCTGCGAGGCAGATCAGAGGTGAGGTTGATTGGCTGTGTCTGGAAAACTGGGTTGTGCATTGGGAGAGTTGGCAGTGCAGTAAATTCCTGAGAGGGAGGAGCAGCACTGAAGGAGTGAGAGGTGGAAATCACCTCTGTGGATCTCACACTGTACAAGTGAGGCTGTGGGTTCACGGGACAAAATTTGGGGTACAGTGCCCCTCTTTGCACTGTCCTGTGTCCTTGCATGCCCTGGGGTGGGAGACATGCATAAAAACATCTTTACACAGTTTAATGCATGGGGAAGCCCCTGTGGATACTCACCCAGAGCTGGTTTCAGATACCAGCACGTAAGGCAGGGCTCTGGGGCCCCAGATGGCCCAGGAGGAGCTGCAGTCAGCTGGTGTGTGCATGCAAGTCCTGGCAGGAATTCTGCAAGCCTGATATTGGTTCTGAATGAGAAATGTGAGAGCAGACACTCCAGATCTGATATCCTGAACACCATATCGTCCCCATGTGTTGCCGCAGGTCAGGCTCATGTTTTGAGTAGAAGGACTCTGAATATTTGTTGTTCATGCTGTCCTGGTGTGCAGACAGCCTGTAAATGTCCTTCCTTTCAATCTAGCAAAATGAGATAAATCACTGTCCCTTGACAGGTCCATGGAACACCCCTGGAATCATCACTGGGTTCTTATATGGAAAATCTCGCAAAGCAAACGTACAGGGATTCAGTTTTGTTAAGCAGACAGGCTGACCTCTGAAACAGAGCAAAAGCAGACACAGAGAAGACAAGATGGTGCCACTTCTGGATAAGGACAGAGATTCCTTACTGGGAAAATCCCAGCTATGGATGGGGTCTTTTTCCCAGGCTCTGGGAGCCACCCTGGCCAAGCTGTTCTGGGGATTGGCTGCTGCCCCCTTCATATTAATTTCTTCAGCTAAATGGTTTCTTCTGAGTATGTGAATATAATCAGTGGAGTGTGTAAAACTCCCAGGTTTGACCCTTGCTGGGCTCAGTGCTTCTTGTGGTATAAATTTCTCAGGCATAACATAAATGTGTAATGGATTAAAGCTTTAATAGTATCCGTTCAGCAGTTGACTTAAGCAGGTGATGACAAGAGGGGCTGGTAATGCTGCTTTTGTTGGATGAGGGATATGCTGGGCATGCTGCTTATATGTAACCCAATAGCACTATTCTGTTCTGAGTGGTCCTTGGTGGTAATTATTCCCTATCCTACTTCCTTTGTCCCCCCCTCATTTGCCTCCAAAATGTCACTCTCCTGCTGAGGATGGGCAGGCACACACTTATCATTCCCCGCTGAGCTTGCTTGCCCTCAATTAAACACATTCCAGGCTTATATTCAGGGCCTCTGGCCTTGCTCTCCTCCTCTGTGTGGAGGGCATAATTCCTGTTCCCTGGCCTGCAGAAGCCTATTCAGCCCCTCATCACAGGAGCTGGCAGTGCTCCCATGGAAGTTTGAAGATGCAGGGACAAAGAGCTTCTGCCTGGTCCTTCTGGCAGGGAGCTCTCCCTCCCTCTCTTGCCATGAGCTCAGAAGGTGTTTGCTGCTGGAGCATTTCCAGTTCCATGGGAGCACTGGTAAGCTGCAGCAGAGCTGGTCTCACACTGCAAGGTGGTGCTTGCAAAGGCTTCTTCCCAGTGTGACTCTGTCCTTCCTCGTTGCTTGGTTTTCACTGTCTTGGAGTTGTGTTTTTGGTGGAGGGTCTGTCACACACACAGGAGAATGCCTGGGCAGTCAGAGGTGATGACTTGCAAGCAAAACTCACAGCCTGCCTCAATCCAAACTTCTGATATATCCATACTTTTGATATGCTGATGCACACTGAGTACAGAAAAACCCAGGCTGTGGAAGATTCACCTCAGTTTTTAAAGAACGGGGCAAAATAGCTCTTTATCCAGCAAAACTCACAGGTTTTAATACAACAGCTTCAAAATATTGATTGCTGTATGTTACCAGCCACATAGCCAAGCCATGGAAGGAAACCTCCAAGCCTCTGGCACACAGGAACTTTCAGTATATCACCCACTGATTGCCTTGCTCCTTGACCTATGCCAGATGAAAATTTAGGACTGTCTCTTCTAAATTGTGTCCCCCCTGTGTACTCATTTAGGTCTGAGACTACCATCTGCTCCTTGGTTCAGCTTACTTGCACTGCCACAGACCATACAGTATCACTAAAAATAAACCAGAGCAAGTGCCTCATTCATCCCCTCTCTTCCTGGGGCACTCCCTGTGCAGCTGTCAATAGCTGGAAAGCATTTCTGAAAATCTGCACAACTGTTAGGTCAGTGAGAGCAGAAATGATGACCCTGCTCACTAGTAAATGCTGCCCACAGCTTTTCCAGGAAAAATCAGACCACTTGATGTCCTTGGCATGTGTGTTCACTTCAAACCTGAAGTGATTTTTCACTGACACGAAAACACAGTGTGATGATTGAAATGACTTCTGAACCTGGAAAGCAGCAAATTTTCATGAGGAGGGCTGGATCCCTGCAAGGCCTTGTAGGATTCAAACCAACACCTTTCCTTCCACTGTTGCTTTAGAAATGGATTTGGTGTTTTGAAGGCTCAACTTAAGTTTACAGGTCTTCATCTGTGGAAAATGGATTTGAGAAAATTCTCAAACCCTGGCAGAAGGCTCACATAATGTGCATCTGTATGTAAACCTTGAGATAAGAAATGCTGACTTAGAAATGCCATGGAATAGGACAGACAGTGCTGAGAAAGAAATGGAACTAGAAACAAGTTTCAAAGGATGGTTTTGTAAATAAGACTAAATACTTTGGAGAAATAGAACTATGAAAGATGCATTGTAGTAGGAGCCACAAGGGGTAATTTTAGATTATTGGCTTTAAGGCATTTCCAGAATGATGTGGCAAAAGATGATAGGCCAACAAACACTTCTAGTGTATTGTAATTAAGAAATAATTGGCTTTTGATTGTGATGGCGTGATTTATAACATCTGTATTGTCTCACCCTTCTCATGAGATTGAAAATAAAATAAAAGGTTTTAAAACACCTCTCAGTTGCCCCATCTCTGGGTCAGAAAAGGGCAAAATCCAACATTCATCATTGTGCCTCTGGAGTGTTGCTGTGGCGCTTGATAAAGAAGGATGCAGGAAAATTTTATGGTGCAAAAAGAAAGGATCCAACTCAGTTTATTTTATTAAACCCTTTTATAGGGTTTTTTAAGAGCATCCCCTGTCTATCCCCCGTTGGTCACAAGTTGTTGCCCTGTATTGATTGGTCACTCAAACTCCTGAAGTGTTCATGCAGGAAAGATTGTTTGTGAGAGATAACTTTCATTTCTCTATCAAACGGTATAAAACCAGTTTATACAGGTGACTAGTGTTTATCACAGTCCTAGAGTCCTTTCTCAAGGAAAGTTGTTTTCCACAGTCTTAGAGCTCTTTCTGAGGAAAAGCAAGTTGTTTTTCACTGCTGCAGAGCTCTGTTCCCACAAAGAGCTGTCAGCTCCCTCATGGCTCCTGTGGGCTCGGGTCAGGATTGGGCTTGTAGGCCTTGGGCCTGCTGCTCCTCATGTGCTGCACCACATGAGGCAATTAGCTAAGGCAGAAATATCTGTCACTGACAATAAAATGGTGATTTATAATGGTGATTTTCACTCCTTGCAGTGAAGCTTTACGCCCTGACAAGCCAAGTGATCAACGGGGAGATGCAGTTCTACGCCAGGGCCAAGCACTTCTACCGCGAGGTGCCCGCCACGGAGGAGGGAATGATGGGGGACTACATCGAGCTCTCCAACACCGACGTGGAGTCCTCACGGGAATTCCTCAGGAAGTTTGTTGGGGTGAGTCATTTTATCTCATCTTCTGCAAGGAGCAGTAGTGGATTGTGTTTAGGTTGCCCCCAGACGGAGGAAGGAATGATGACTCTGACTCCATGTTCTCAGAAGGCTAATTTATTATTTTATGATACTATATTATATTAAAGAACACTATACTGAACTATACTAAAGAATACAGAAAGGATACTTACAAAAGCTAAAAAGATAATAGGGAAAACTCATTACTCTTTCCAGAGTCCCAACACAGCTTGGCCCCAATTGACCAAAGAGTCAAAACAACTCACACCAAAATCCAATGAATCACCTGTGGATAAACAATCCCCAAACACATTCCACATGACCACAACACAGGAGAAGCAAATGAAATAAGAATTGTTTTCCTTTTCTCTGAGGCTTCTCAGCTTCCCAGGAGAAAAATTCTGGGTGAAGGGATTTTTCAGAAAATATGAATGTGATGGTGGTGATGTGTCAAAAATGACCTGCACGGTGCCCAGACACACCTGATTTAAATGGCACTGTGTGTCATGTTTGATTTGTAGTCATCACTGTCGTTGGGTCTAGTCGTGTATTCTGGCAGGTCATTTTTCAGCATGAGTACATGTGGCATTCACATTCTCTGAAAAAATCCCTTTGCCCAGGATTTTTCTCCTGTGAAGCTGAGAAGCCTCAGAGAAAAGGAAAATAATTCTTATTTCCTTTGTTTTTCTTCTGTTTTGCTATGTGGAATGTGTTTGGAGATTATTCACCCACAGGTGATTGTTTTACTGGACTCTGGTGTGAGTTCTTTTTACTCATTGGACAATCAGCGCCAAACTGTGTCAGGACTCTGGAAAGAGTCACAAGTTTTTTTTATTATTATCTTTTTAGCATTTTGTATCTTTTCTGTATTCTTTAGTATGGTATAGTATAGTATTCTTTAATGTAATATAGTATCATACAGTAATAAATTAGCCTTCTGAGAACATGGAGTCAGATTCATCATTCCTGCCTTCATCGGGGCATTCCCAGCAAATACAATAAATACACATTTTGCCTGGTCCTACATTATTATTTACCTGTTTTACATCCTTTTCTAATGCTCCCAAGCTGCAATGAGGAGTTCTTTTACCTGGGTTTGATTAATTCTGAATGCAGGACTGAGACCTTTCATGATAAAATCCTTGTTGGCTTCAGTGGCAGATTTGTCTGTGCAAATTCTTGCAGTCCAGTTGGGAAACTAGCTGAGACTAAATGCCCAGTTTCTGGTTTGCCTATTTATAGGTATTTCTGAGAATGCTGCAACAAAACCCACCTTCTCCTACACATTGTAAGTATATAAAAGAGGCTACACATTAGGCAAAATATTTTACCTTAAACATTCCAGTGTCACTGAACACCTTTTCAGGCACATTGCTAAAGGACTGTAAAGTCTTGAAAGGTCTGCTTTGGCCTGAATTGCAAGGAGATGCCAAGTTGGATTTTAAGAGCAGTATCACTTTGGTCCTTAGATTACTGAAAATCCTATTGGGTCCTAAAATTTTCTTTAGAAATCTGAAAACCTTTAGAAGTGTGGCCTGATAGTTTTCTGACTGCCCTTCCCTTTTCCCAGGGAAGGAGCCCACTAATTCAGCTCAACAATAGTATTAGAGGTTAAGGAATCCACAAAAAAATTTGTGATGTTCTACTGCTGACAAAATTACTAATTCTATATAATGCTGCCACAGATCTTTAATTTTCTGCTCAAATGTGCAAATTTGGGATAGCCAGATGACCTTTTTTTAGCCTTAATGATCCACTGTGGGAAGTAAGCTCAATAGGTTAATTAGATGTTGTATATGGGAAAAAAAAGGGCACAGTTTAAATGGAATGGGGTGGAAAATGAGTGTGTCTTGACAGCAGATAGAAATCATGCAGAGCTGTGAAGGGCAAGTGATGGCAAAATTTGCTGTACCTGATAGAGGGAGACTTTTGGGGCTCTGAGCCAGAATAGCTGCATTTTTCTGTATCAACAATCATTTGTATTAATGCAAAAAAGGCTTCTCAGATGCTCCCTGTATCATGCTGTCAGCAAACACAAAGTGAGAAAATACAGAGGAGGTTCAGTGAGGAGCTGAAGCTGATGGTAACATTTCTGCATGACTGTGGTATTTTTGGGGTCCCCCATGGCAGGAAGGAAATCATGAATCTGACTCCATGTTCTTAGAAGGCAAATATATTATATTATATTATATTATATTATATTATATTATATTATATTATATTATATTATATTATATTATATTATATTATATTATATTATATTATATTATATTATATTATATTATATTATATTATATTATATTATATTATATTATATTATATTATATTATATTATATTATATTATATTATATTATATTATATTATATTATATTATATATTCTGCTCTACTAAAACTATACTAATGAATAGAGACAGGATACTTACAGAAGGCTTAACAAGATACTAATGAAAACTCATTACTCTCTCCATAGCCTCAACACAGCCTGACCGTGTTTGGTCATTAAGTAAAACCAATTCACATGTTGGATAAACAATCTCCAACCACATTCCAAAGCAGCAAAACACAGGAGAAGCAAATCAGATAATTATTGTTTTCCTTTTTCTCTTCTGAGGCTTCTCAGCTTCCCAGGAGAAAATCCTGGCAAAGGGATTTCTCAGAAAATATGACAGTGACACATGACATTTCTGAAAACAGCATTTTCAGAAGGAAAATGAAACTCAGTCAAGGCACATTCCTTAAATTTTATTTAAGTCTTGTTTTAAGGACATTTGTGGCATTCAAGTGGTGCAGAAGTGTGTGCTCAGGGGAAGATTTCTCCCTTCCTAGACATCACACAGATGCAGTTTCCTGCAGCAAGTTTGTGTCACCTCTCCAAGACCCGAAAAGGAAAGAAGTACAGTCTGTGACAGAGTTTCACATGCCAAAGGGGAGTCATACCCAATGCATCAGCTGTGATGACAGATACAAAATACTCCAGAGCAAAATTCCCACTCCTATAATTAGCCAGAGATAGAAAGGATACTCTGAATGGCCAAGATCAAACAAGAAAAAAAAAATAAAAAAGGAACAGAGAGGAGTCTGCACCTTTTGCTTATTCTGATTCAGTTTGTTAAAGCCTGTTTCCTGTTTAGATGTAGCTAATTGATTATGTTACTTGTGGTTTATTTTTCTTTCTTACTACTGAAATTTGAATCCTGCTCAACCAGATAAAGATATTTTGTGACCTTCTGTAGCAGAGACTTGATAATAAAGCTAATGAACTGTCTCACTGAGTTTATGGCTCTATGAATATTTTTTTTAACCCATAAGGTGATCAAGATAGAAAAAAAACAGTATGCTTCATGCTAAAAAGGTGACGCAAACTTCTCTTTTAAGAGAAGTTTAACAAAATTGGGAAATAGGAAAATTTGTTTCAGATGAACTGAACAATATTTTTATTGTTTCACCCTCTGAAAAATTTTCCCCTTTGTTTTCAAGAGCACAAGTCAGTTCCAAAATAAAAAATGCTCTTTAGAAATGAAAGTTGACAAGTTTGGTTTCTTTTTTCCTTGAAAGTTACCAAAAAAAAAAAAAAAAAAAAAAGTACTTTGACATTTTCAACATTCTTTCCCATGTTTTTTTGGCTAAAAACTATTCTCTAGATTTGAAATACCAGTTTCACAGAGAGTTTTATTCATTTAAAACTCTGCATTCTGGCAAAACCGGTGCTCCCTGAACAAACACTTGCCTGGTTCCACTCAAATTACCCCTCCAGAGTTAGTTTGGCTGGCGTGGAAATGCCACACAGTGACATTTCCCTTCCATGACTGATGTTGCATTCCTTCAGGTATGGCATTTCTTAGCGTGATCCTTAGCACCACTGTAAACTGAGCTACAGATTTCTTTGGAGAAAAGAATTCATCTTGCCTTGGGCACATGGAAGGAATTACAGGAAGGGACTGAGGGCTTCACTGACATTTCAGCTCCATGGGCGAGTCGAGCGAGGGTTGAAAGTGCCACTGTGCTGGAGTTAAGAGGTTTTATGTGTGTGTGGGCAGAACTGAAACCAAGAGCAACATGGCCTGAGCCAGCAGGGCTCTGCAGACAAGCTCCAGGCTGTCTCAGGTACAGGGTTATCAGCACAGCCACAGCCCTGCATATTTATGGCAGCCTGCTAATGCCTCCGTGTCCACACAGCCACCGTGTTCCCAAGCGCCTGATCCGGAGGCAGGGAGTAAAAAGGGAAATAAAGAAAACAAAGGAAGCATTAATTCAGCGTCGGTTGGGAGCTGTAGGTGTGTAAAATATTACCAATGGAGATTATATTGACTTTATGGCTCCCTCTCTGCCCTCAACGCTTTCTGCCTCTCTTGCCCCCAACTCACCTGTGTGATTGGTTACTTGCTGAGTGAAAACTTCTTGAAAAGTGATTTTTCTCCAGTTTGATCAGGGTGATAGAAGAGATGTTGTTGAAAACATGCTCTTTTTTTGTTTATTTAGAAGGAAAACCACTGGGATTTTTATCTTTTTCTTGAAGTGTGATTCCTTTTTTTGTCATATACAGCTTCACTGCCTTTCTGCTCTTCCAAAACCTGAAGTAGCACTGGGAACATATCCCACAGCTCTTTTATTCCAAAGGCAATTTATGAGTGCCCAATTTAGCTTTAGAGAACAATTTTGGGGTGTATATGTGTCCTAAAGGACAGGGATTCTGAGTAATGGGAAGCAAGTAGTCAGAGGAGCAGTCAGTCTCAAATTTTGAAGCCTGTTCTGGCTTACAGTTTTCACTTATAACATTTTTTTGAATAAGGAGTCTGATTTTCAACTCAATTAGACTTTTGGGAAAATGTTTGCCTTCCAAAGAAAATGTTAATACTCTGTCAAAGCCCTAAGCACTTCCAAACTGAAAATATATTAGCTGAACATGGAATTATGTCAACATTTTCATTACAAATGGAGCCGTGGTGTTTCACAGGGCTTCTCAACTGACTGCTGGAAGCTCTCACTCCTTTTCAGCAAAGTGTGGGATCCAACTTCATCTCCCATGACCGTTCCCTTTCCTTCTTCTCGATGGCACTGGAGATGTGTCATCAGAGGTCCTTGCTGTGACGTGTCATGGGAGATGAATTCCCTGTTTTGAGTGATGAATTCCCTGCTTTGAGTGATGAACTCCCTGTTTTGAGTCCCTACTATGACTGTAGATTCTGTGAAATACAAATGTTGAAGGAATTACCTGGCTTTTTTGTCGAATTCTGTTGGGTTGGTGGTTTTGGTAAATCATCCCAGTTTTCTCAGCAGCTTTCTCAAAGATTTTTAGTTAATCCCATCAGTGCAGACCTGTATGTACCTGCCAGCCAACAATATGGTAATCCACCTTGTCAAGATCCAAGACAAAGTTCCTTCTCCTTTCCTGAATTCCTTGTTACCTCTTAGTCTGGTCCTCAGTAAAAGCCACGTGCAGGAGCTTCCAAGACCTGAAGTATCATTGGGAACTGTAAGCCAGAAGAGGCTTCAAAATCTGAGCCTGACTGCTTCTTTGGCTACTTGCTTCCCATTACTCAGAATCACTGTCCTTTAGGACACATATACACCCCAAAATTATTCTCTAAACCTATATTGGGCACTCATAAATTTCCTTTGGAATAAGAGCTGTGGGCTATGTTCCCGGTGCAGCCTGTGGATGAGGAATGGCTCCCATTTTCTGGCTAACTACAAACAGGTAGTCTCCAGAGCCCAGTAGGGTTGAAGGTCTGTGGACTCGTGCACACATCAGGAGATTAATCTTCCTGGGCATACAAATTGGGAGCAGCAGCCCTGGAGACTGGTGAGAGCCCTTGTGTGCTCTTTCTACAATTACTGTGTGTAATCAGATGCTGGCCTGGGCTATTCATAGTCATGTCATTGACAGTGCTGTCCTTTGACCTTAATAATCCACTGAATTACCCACTGAAGCCAGGCCAAAAAAGTGTGAGTTCCATGATTTATGCTGGGTTCATTACACAGGGGGGGTCTCCCAATAAGCAGGAAGAGGAAGACTCTTCCTGGGCTTGTTGCCTTTGAGTGCAGGGAAGTTGCAGCAGGAACTTTGGCCCACGGCTTTCACTTCAACGCTCAGTTCCAGAGGACAGGGAAAAGGTGTTTACATTTGCTTTTAATATGTTTGCTTAACAGATAGCTTTGGCCAGGGCAGCTCCTATCCCACAGTCAGTGCATGTGTAGGCTCAGAATTTCTGTTTTACAGAACAGCAGCAGGCTCTTAAGAGCTGTTTTATAGCTAGAATGGAAGCTTTAGGGGTGAAATACAGCTTTCATTATAAAGCCTTTTTTACAGCACTTCATTATTGTCTCATAGTCACAGCCTTTGTGCCACACTTTTCCATGTCTGATCTCTGTCCAAAGATGACATTTATGAAGAAAAAAGGAACAGTTAAGCAAAACCTAGTCAATCATCTTTCTTGTCTCTATGCCTAAAAGAGAAATTCTGTATATGCTCCAGCCCAAACTTCTCGAGTTGTCATAAGTTACCTACCACTCTGAGATCTTTGTTCTAGCACAATTTGTTTTGAGGACTGCACTTTGATCCCAGGGATTCTGTGTATCTGTAGAAATGCCCATGGGCACCTCAGGAGCTGTGTGCTGCAGAAGTTACTGCTTGCATGCAGTATTTGGTGTATGCTTCCTTTTCTATTGGCCTTTCCAGGGCACAGAATGAGGCTTATCTAGCCACATAGTTCCCTGTGAGGTGTGAACATTTGAAGTTGCAAGGACTTTACAGAGAGTAGTGGATCTTCTGAGAAAGCCAAGAGCTTGTGAAAGACTCTGTCTCTTCTTACACCAAGTAAAAATTTCCTGTACAGCAGTACATGCAATGAGAAGTCCCAGCAGCAGCAGCCCGGGAGTGTGACAGCCCAGCTCAGCTCAGACAGAGGTACCCAAATCTGTGCTGATTCTTATCAATCTCCCAACAGCCCTGCAAAGATAAGGAGAGAAGACACCAGGTTGGACAAGCAGTGGGTAACAGAGTGTCTTGGTTTGAACAGAGAGGTGTCTGCCAAGGAAGGCAGGAGCCTCTCTTGAAGTGGAAAATGTAAATCCCCTCCCTCTGAGTTATTATAATTTTGAAATTAAGGGGCTCTCAGGCAAAGATATGGGAATAGGAATAACAGTTATTTTATAGGAAAATTAAAAATACAAATGTAATAGGTACAAAAAAAGAGAACAAAGACAACAAAGCACTGCCAGAGTGAGAGCAGTCCCTGTCCCCCTGTGTGTCAGGGGGTGGCACAGCCCCATCCCATGGGGGCTCAGCCCTCCTGCAGTGCCAGCTGTGGCTCTGCTGGAGCAGGGATCCTGCACAAGGGGGGAGTTTTCCTCTGCAGCTCCAGGGCTGCTGGAGATGGGCCTGGGCTCCCTCTGGCCATGCAGGGCAGCAGAAGCTGCTCCTCTGGCAATGCACTGGCCAAAGGCTGCTGGGCTGTGCCAAAGCTCAGATTGGATTCAGGGAGGAATGCTTGGCTCCTCCCCTGGGCGGAGCATCTCCCCATGGGATGATGGGATTGGATCAGCCCTGCAGGGACGCTCACTGGCCATGGACAGAAGATAATTAATAATTAATGGCCCATGAACAGAAGAGATCTCCTGGAGGGAGGACTGGTTGTGGGAGAGATGAAGAAAACTGCCCAATGAACAGCAGAGAACTGCCCCAGCTCTGACAGATGGCAAATAGAACACACACCCCAGCTAAATCTTTCAACCTAAGACACACAGTTGCTGTGATATTTTTTTTCAGGTGGTATTTTTCAGATTTCCAATGATTTTCTTGTATCCCCCAGGGGGTGGGGAAAGCTGGCACCAGCCGTGCCCTGGACTGTGGCTCTGGGATAGGTCGGATCAGCAAGCACGTCCTGCTGCCCGTTTTCAAGAGTGTGGAGCTGGTGGATATGATGGAGAATTTCCTGGCTGAGGTCCCAAACTACCTGCAGGGCAAGGAGGACAGAGTAGAGATGTATTACTGCAAAAGCCTCCAGGAATTCACACCTGCCCCACGAAGATACGACGTCATCTGGATTCAGTGGGTTTCAGGTTAGTTCTGCACTATCCTCTGGCCTGACACCTCACAGAACAGGCAGCCTCTGCTCCAAGGAGGTTCTCAGATCTTTGGGATGACTTCCTAAAGCACCACAAGAGACTTCTGAGAGTTCCCCACATGCACATTGGGTACAAATCAAGTTGGTTTTTTCAGGTCATGTGTTGGAGAAATGTGCCAGTTCCTGGAGAGCAGCCTGCATGCAAAGGGGCAGCTGAGGGTGAGGCCCCACACGGGGATTTTCTGGTGCAGAAATGCTCTTTCTTAGGTGCAGAAAGATACACAGGGCTGACCACACTTGCAAACAGTGGTTTCTGAAGCTGCTGACTATCCAGGCTTGGAGGTATTTCAGGAAACAATCAAGAAAAAAGCCATAGTGGAATCACCAATATCTGTAAATCAGATCAGGTCTTATTACCTCCACTGCTGTTTATCAGACATAGGTTCCCTTTGCTATGTCCCACAGGAGCCTCTCCTATAAGAAACATCTGCTTCTTCTCCTGCAGCCACCCCAGTGAATGCCCTGCAGCATTTAGGGCAATCACATAATGAGGGATGTGTACCTTACAAAAAAAAAATCATTCTGTACAGTGGAAAGAAGATTTTCTCTTAATCTGTGAACTGTAGTGTCCAGGGTGCAGTTTCAGAGAGCAGAAGGAATTATTCGAGAGGAGGTCTGAACAAATTGCTTTAGAGCAGCATAATTTTCCTTTGTATTTTTGCTTTTCTTTAATAATGAGTGATTGCAGTAAATGTAGCTCCTGCCTCACCTTTTGAGCAAATCCAAGTCAAAATGAGGACGAATGAGCTTAGATGAACCATCTAAGGGTGTGCTGGTCAGAAATGTGGCTCCTAACTAAGGAGCATATCATATTCTTAGCACAGAGCTGAATCTTCTTGCTCCATTAATGTCAAGGAAATATGGAGTCATCTTAATCATTAATCAAACCTCTGCCTCTATCTTGAATTTGGCTCAAATATGCCAGCAAATTCATTTGATGGAGCGAGGGCAGAACTGTCTGCTAGACAGAAACACCTCTAAGATCTCATTTTCTTAGGAAACTACACTAAAGGCCAAGTAAAGAGAAAAATAAGCTCCAAATTAGGTGTTCAAAAGCTTCAGTGAATCTTGCCAATGAAATCTTGATTTGTCTTATGCATGCATTAGCATGTGAAGCCTAGCAGTCATTTTGTATAAAAAGTAAAAGTGCAAGCTTACATTCCGTATAGAAATTACCATTTTCCTTCAACTTAAAAGGTATTCAGCTTTAGGTTTTGGGGCTTTTTCCTTTTTAATTTTTTTTGCTGTTATTGTTTGTTAGGAGTGGTTAAAAAAACTTGACATGCTATGTCAAAATGTGGTTTTGAAATGACAGCTTCCATTTATAAAAGTTCAAATCTCCCATGTAGAAAATGAAATAGTTTTACTAGAAAATACAGGTGATTATTTTTACCAAGTTTCTCATTCACTTTCTGATCACCTGTCTTTGTTTATTCATGTTAGATATTTCACATGTGAGAGTTCTCATTTTGCTCTTCTCTGAGCTCTGCATCATTGTTCTCCACAGAACTCCTGATCTTTGACAAGGAAGGATAAGAAACAGAATCTCAATAACATATTGGAAAAAAGCACTATTTTATAATATATACATATCTACAAAAATCCTATGGGGTATGGAGTAACGTGAGGAGTTTAATTGGCATTGTGGAATTGGCTTTCCATTCTTTGCTGGATCTTTGATCCAGAACTCCTTTGATGGGGGGATACAGTGCTACACAAAGTTACAGAGATTTTTAGCAATAAAAAACAGAGAGGACTGGGATTATCTAGTCTGACCCACTCTATAGCCCAAGCTGCTCTATTCATTCCTTTACCCCCCATGCTAACCCAGTAGCTTGTGTTCAATTAAAACAAATCTTGAAAGATTCAACCACACTTGGTTTGAGGACTTCAAGAGGTGGTAAACCCCACTTCTGGTGGTAGTTTCCAATGGGTAATTGCTTACACTGTTAAACAGTTGTCACTTATTCCCTATATGAATTTGTTTGGCTCCAGCCTCCTGCCACTGATTCTTATTATAACTTAAACCACCAGATTAAAGAATCCTTCAGCACCCACTATTTTCACCACTCTCCTCAGTGGCTTCTGTCCACATCTGTTGCTGCTACCGCTATGGATCCGAAATATTGATTGGAGTTTGTATTTGTGGATCTCGTTTATGTGGCCAAGATTTCCTAGTTAAATCTGGCAGGACTAGAATAATAATTTTCTGCAATAAACAGGCCATGGAGATTCAGATCAAGGCACTCTTCTGACGTGTCTGAATGGTTAATAGCGATCTGTTTTTGATCTGTCTTGGTTTGAACAGACAGGTGAGTGCTAAGGAAGGCAGGAGCCTCCCTTGAAATGGAAAATGTAAATCCCCTCCCTCTGAATTATTATAATTTTGAAATTAAGGGGCTCTCAGGCAAAGATATGGGAATAGGAATAACAGTTCTTTTATAGGAAAATTAAAAAACAAATACAATAGTACAAAAAAAGAAAACAAACCACCGCCAGAGTGAGAGCAGTCCCTGTCCCCTGTGTGTCAGGGGGTGGCACAGCCCCATCCCATGGGGGCTCAGCCCTCCTGCAGTGCCAGCTGTGGCTCTGCTGGAGCAGGGATCCTGCACAAGGGGGGAGTTTTCCTCTGCAGCTCCAGGGCTGCTGGAGATGGGCCTGGGCTCCCTCTGGCCATGCAGGGCAGCAGAAGCTGCTCCTCTGGGAATGCACTGGGCAAAGGCTGCTGGGCTGTGCCAAACCTCAGATTGGATCCAGGTAGGAATGCTTGGCTCCTCCCCTGGGCGGAGCATCTCCCCATGGGATGATGGAATTGGATCAGCCAGGCAGGGACACTCACTGGCCATGGACAGGAGATAATTAATAATTAATGGCCCATGGACAGAAGATAATTAATAATTAATGGCCCATGGACAGAAGAGATCTCCTGGAGGGAGGACTGGTTGTGGGAGAGATAAAGAAAACTGCCCAGTGAACAGCAGAGAACTGCCCCAGCTCTGACAGACAGACCTCAGCTAAATCTTTCAACCTAAGACACACAGTTGCTGTGATATTTTTTTTCAGGTGGTATTTTTCAGATTTCCAATGATTTTCTTGTATCCCCCAGGGGGTGGGGAAAGCTGGCACCAGCCGTGCCCTGGACTGTGGCTCTGGGATAGGTCGGATCAGCAAGCACGTCCTGCTGCCCGTTTTCAAGAGTGTGGAGCTGGTGGATAGGAATAGAAATACACAAACCCATTTCCAACCTAAGGCACCATCTTTTCACCCACAGGATACCTGACAGACAAAGATCTCCTGGAGTTCCTCATCCGCTGCCAGGGTGGCTTGAAGGACAACGGAGTGATCATTCTGAAGGACAATGTGGCCAGGGAGGGCTGCACCCTGGACTGCCTGGACAGCAGCGTCATCCGCGACCTCAACATCCTGCACAGCCTCATCGAGATGAGCGGACTCACCATCCTCAGGGAGGAGAGGCAGGAGGGCTTCCCCGAGCAGTGTGTCCCTGTCTGGATGCTGGCCATGCAGAAGGGCCCTGGCCACTCCTGACTGCCCTGTGACACCCCAGGGACTGGGCTATGGATGAACCAGGGGACTGGGAAGGAGGAAAGCACCTCCTGGGGTCCTCCTACCCATGCACTGCTCCAGGGCAGCAGCTTCTAAAGGGTCAGGAGAGAACCACAAAGCTTCTCCCAGGAACAGTGTGCTCCTAAATCCTACCTGCTCCATCATTCTGCTCCTAAATCCTACCTGCTCCATCATTCTTTCCATTTTTAAAAGCTTTCCTGACCTCCCTTTCAGATCTCTGTTCCGTTAAGGAGTCAGTGCTGTACAAAACTCATGCAAGAGAAAATAATTAGGTCTGAATTTTCTGTGGTAGTTAATAGTTTTGGGGTGTTCTCTATGAGGTGTTAACAAGCCTGGTTTTTACTATGGCACTTAGGTCTTCTTGGAATTTAGGAAGGATCTGTCAGAACACTGAAGCAGGAAATTCAAGCAAATTCTGGAAAACTTCACCCAAATTTTGGCTGTCCTCTCTACCTGTACTTTAGAATATTTAAACCAAAATATAAGGAAAGTTTGATCTTTTTGTTGGCATCAGCTATGCAGTTTTGGGGTTTTTTGGGGGATTTTTTGTGGGTTTTTTTTTTTTTTTTTGGTTGTTGTAGTTGTTTTGGGGGTTTTTTTGTTTGTTTGTTTGGGAGTTTTTGTTGGGTTTTTGGGAATTTTTGTTTGTTTGTCTGGGGGTTTTGGGGTTTTTTGGTTGGTTTTTTTTTTTTTCCTTTCATTTCTGTCAATTTGGACAATAAAACAACCTGGTTAATTTTCCATTTGTAAGAGCTACTTCCTCTTCCTGATGTTCCTGCTGTAGAACAATAGTGGCACATAAGCGATTTCACACTCCAGAGGAAAACTTGGCTGACAAATATCTGCATGTTTGCATTGAAATTTTGTGAAAAGCTTGCCCCACATATTACATTCTGAAATTTTTAATTTTTTTTTTCAGAATGTTCACAGTGGAAACCACTTTAAAACCTCTCTTGATTATTCATACCACTGTACATTTCTTTTTTCCCACATTCAGAACAAGCCTGGCACCATATGCAGAGCTAATGGGATTTCATGGAATGTTAATAGTAAGGCTGTAAGAAGAACTAATACAGTATTGTATTAATTAACAACTGTGCTAAACTGCAGAGAGTGTTAGTGTTGCCCAAAAGCAATGATTTATATTCAAAGAGCAGCTGTGTAAGCCTGCATTTGAAAATACTGACATGCAGCCCCATCTCCTTAAGGCTCACAGAAATTGTACATTAAGCTTCTTGTCCTCTTCCCAGAGGCACAGAAAGTGCTGTGGGAGGACAGAAGTTCATTTTGCAAACAAATTCAGAATTTGGAATTCTGCTTCATTCTAAAGATGGGGGGAATTTTGATATTTGTTATGAGGGAAAGCTACACAACCACAGTTTTTCGAGCTGATTAAAGTTTTTTATCCAGACAACATGAAATGCTTCTTTTGATTTGAACTTTTAACCTAATTTGCACTTAAAATGTTACTAAGGCTTGTTCAAAATTTTAGAAATTAATTCTGACTCTGTCAGAATTTTTATCACATCTTACTCCCCTGAAATGCAGTCCTGGCCAAGCTTTTCAGACTTTGTAAAGAGTTGCAATTTGACAAATCTCCCTGTGCTAGGGGAAAGGAGCTCTATAAAACATCCCTCACATGACAGCAGGCACAATTGGCTGTGTCAAATATTGTCAGCTGTGTTGGATTAACTAAAAAAGAAGCCTGAAGATAACAAGATAAGGGAGCCTCTCAGCTGGATTTTAGCACACATTGCTGTCCTTTGATAACAAATCTCCAATTTTGATTTTAATTGCATAACTCATCTTCTCTGGCAATATGTTTGCACATGTTGAGAATTACCAGTTTATGGCAGAAGGCTTTCTGCCATCAACTCTTATCCACTCACTCTTCTGTTAATGTTCCATGGCTAATTGTAGCATTAGGGAAAACCACACTGGTGATTTGGTGAATATTCTGGTGTTTCCTATAGCTATGGTTCCCACAACACAGATGCTTCTGGAATGTTTTGACTAATTCTTCCATTCTCATCAGCTGGTATTGCATGGAAACTGAGTAAGTAACATTTTTTTTTATCAAGAAAGAAGCATCAGTCCTATAGCAAAAAGAAGGGAATATTTATATATTTTCCTTTACAAATGGATTGCAAATCAATTTGCCCTTCACCATTTTTTCCTTCCAGCCAGAGACATCTGCCATGGTGCAGAACACTTGGGGCTGCTGGAGATCCTTGAGCAGTGGTGTCTGTGCCAGGCAGGTCTGAGAGGTGCTGCCACTGCAGTGCTGAGGGAATGGCATTGTGCAAAAAGGGGCAATAAAGAATTTATTCCCAAATCTTACAGGGCACAATATATCAGCTGAGTTGGTGCAGTTCAGTCATGAGAGACGTGGTTCCAAGGTGGATTTAGAATACAAAGTGGTTCAAGATGAAAAATGGAATATAAATGGTTGGTGTGGTTACCAGTGAAATACATTTTTCAGTGTAAAAATGTTCTTCCTGTGTTTTGTGTATCTTTCCTATTAGAATTTCCAGAATGCATGTACATAAATATATAATGAAAATTGGTTCCCTTAACTATGTGAGAAGAGAGAAAAGTAAAATCTTAATTTAGTAGAAAAACCCACATTTCATGGTTTCCACATTCCTGGAAATTAATGTTTCATGGCTATGTTGCTTCCACAGTAAAATAGTAAAGCTTTTCTGGTGACATAATGAATCTCAAGAGTAAAGAAACAAAGTCCTTCAGGAGCTTAAATGCATGAGAAGGCTGCAGACTGAAAAATATTTTGGTTTCCTCCCTTTCTGAGGCATGTTTTAATTCCAGAACTCCCAGTCATCTGGTACAGGCCACCCTTAAATGTCCCTTAATTTGGGTAAGGGCCCTTCTTGGCTTAAAAATTCAGGGCTGTCTGCAATTTACCAATAATATATAATAATATTAATAAATAATCACAAATTTCAAACTGGAGATTTTGCTTAGAAATCATCTGTGTATCAGTTGTGTTTTGGTGTTCAAGGACTGGATATTCAATTCAATGGCTCTGCCTCAACTTCCCTGTTATTTAAACCAATCATTTCAAGAAGCCTTTAGCTCCCTGGAGGTTTGAATCCCATTTGTTTTGTGCTCATCTAAGACTTGTTCCTGATCTTGATGTTACCAGAGATTTAATCCAAGATCAGGACCCTGTCTGAGACAAGGCTCACAGAACACTGAGGGTCCTTCAGGCTCAAGTCCTCATTAGCACTGAAGGTGATCAGGGAAATATTCAACTTGTCCTTCCCTCAAATCTTTCTCCCAAGCAACCACACAGAGTAAAGGCTTAGCCCAGCACAGTAAATCCCATTTCTGCCAAGCCACCACCCAAGTTCTGGTGTCACTTGGTGTCCCCATATCAGGTCCAGTTTCTGTTCTGTGTGACTGAAGGCCAAAAATTACCTTTGCTGTATGAATGTGAGCCTCAAGCCCTGGCTGGAGCCTCCAAACACCACATTTTCCACAAAAATGTAGGAAAACAATTGTTGCAGCATTCTGAGCAGCAATCCCAGCCATGCAGCTCCAGCAACCATCACAGCTCAAGCTGTTCATGTTCCAAATGCAATTCAGACATTGCAAATGTCCTTTCCTTTCTAACTGGAAGAGAGAGCCATCATTTTGAAACATGCAGCTGAAATGCTTTGTTTCAGAAGTACTGAAATGCTATCAGGTATTTTTAGCTTGATTTTTTTGTTTGGATGTTTATATAAGCTAGTTTGAGCTGACATGTTATGTGAGGTGACAGTGTAATACACTCTATGGTATTGAAATAGTTGAAGTGAAACATCAGTTTCCTGCAGAACACACTCATAAAATCAGCACATTCCCTGGCCCTAAACTCAGTGAAACAAGTCAGCAATTTCCAGAGGAAACTGGTTTCAAGAGGTACAGCCCTGTCAAAGGCATTTCCCCAAGCTCTCTTTGTCCAGACTCTCCCATCCACTCAGGCAGCTCTAGAAGCAGCCACTGGAGGCTCTTGGACAGGCAAGGAGAGGCAGCTGCCCCCTCCAGAGCACTCTGACCAGCTCAGAGCAGGACTGGGCTGAGCACAGAGCCTCCCCTCTGTGCAGGGGCTGTGTAGGGATGGTGCATCCTTGTTAAAACTAGCTCAGCATCTTCATTGTGGTGGGGCTGCCAAAAACAAGGCAGGGGCTTGGATAACCAAACACCCTCTGGAAATCACTCATGGAACCAGCACACTGCAGTCAAGGGCCACTTCAGCACTGGAAAAAGCTTTGCCAGTTAGTCCACCAAGAGTCCTGAGGACCTTTGTGCCATTCCCTTGGTTTTTTCCAGGCTCCCCAGGGTGTTTACAATGGCATATCAGAGTGGGCTGTCCAGAGGAGCTTCACTCTCATGTGTGATTAAAACCAGTTGTGCTGCATCCCATCCTTCTCTTCCTTTGATGCTTCTTCCAGCTTGCCAAAGAAAATCCTGCCTCCACTTGCCAAGAAATATTTGTTTTCTGTGGACATCACCACATCCCACTGAAATAAAACAGATTATCTTTGATTTTGAGAGGAGGTAATTCTATTTGTCTGAGAGCAATAACAACACTCTGCATTTCCAACATGCAGGTTAGTTCCTGTCTTTTCCAAATGATGGCAAATGGGCACCCCTAGACCACCAAACAAAGCTCATGTTCCCATCACCATACAGCCCTAAGCTGTGAAGAATGGGGTTTATTGTGTTTGGGATAAGGAAACTGAGGCACAGAAGGGTGATCTGGGCAGCATTACAGCTTTACCTGAGTGGTAGCTGTGAGTGAGTAGCACCTCTACAAACCAGGCCACCAGAGGAACTCCAGAATGTTCTGCAGGCAGACATAAACTGATTCTGGCTGTGCTTGGAACAGATTGGGACAGCCCAGTTGTGGTTACCCTGCTTAACCCCACCTGGAATGTTCTCCAAAGAGAGGGCTCAGG